TCCCTGGTTTAAGAAAATAATCTAGCTTTTAAAAAAAATAACGAATTTCAACAAACATTAACTGTTATATGATTGATTACAAGGTTAAGCCTTCTGAAATTTATTTTAAGTCTATAAAGATGATATATACTGTATAGGTTTTGTTTGCAGTGCAAGGGATTAAACTCAGGGCCTCACACATGCTATCCAAGTTCTTTCCCACAAAATTACACTACCAGCCCTCTATGTACCAAATTGGATGGCTACAGTTTTTGTTGAGATGTAATTCACATACTAGCCATGCATAGTTGCACTGTCATCCCAGCTACTTGGGAGGCTGAGGCTGGAGGGTCATGAGCTTGATGCCAGCCTGGACAATTTAGTGAGACACTGTCTTGAAATAAAGTGAGACATTGTCTAGAAATAAAATAGTTGAGGTATGGTTCAGGGGTAGAGCATTTGCCTAGCATGCATGAAGTCCTGGGTTAAATCTTTTGTACCACCAAAAAACAAAAACGATCCATATTATTAACATGATTTGTCTTGATATTGACCATTATCACTGACTAGGGTAGTATTTGTCAAGTTTCTATACTCTGTACTTATCCCTCCCTACTTCAATATTGTACTCTTTGGAAGAATATCATGAGGAATAGTCTGGGGCGGGGGGGGGTATGTACATAAATTCTTTGGAATTCATCAAGGGAGATTTGTGTCTTCCCTCTTTTTTTTTTTTATTGGTACCGGGGATCGAACTTGGGTTCTTGCGCTTGTGAGGCAGGCAGCGGAACCACTGAGCTAAATCCCTGGCCCCGTTTCCCCTCTATTATTTATTTATTTATTTAATCATTTACTGTTTCAGTATCAACACATGAATATATAATTTATGTGTTGGATTACAATCCAGTGTACTTTTACTTTATTCAAAATATTCTAACTTTGCTCATTGAGCTTTTTTAGTTGGCTTCTGAGTCTCTTTGGTGTACCCCCATAAATGTAGGCAGTTTGCTGCATTTCTTTATTTTCTTCTGTGTTTCTCTTTTTGAGCAATTTTTTATTTTCTGGCACTATATGAAAATGCAGGCTGATCTTGCATATTTTCTGCCCCAGTACTAGAGCCATTTCTCCAAGGAGCCCTGGTTCCTCTCCCTTGGAGAATAAATGATGTTAGAGGCCAAGGTCTGAGTACTAGATATGCTTTGGCTACTAGAGCATTTTTGCATTTAAGCTGTCAGCTGAGAGAGTAAGGGGATACATGTGTGTTAGACTGCTTTAATAATAGGGAATAATTGCTGTGATAATTTGAAAAGCAGATAAAATAGGAGTATTTTGAAAAATAACAGGACATTTGATTTTTTTATATTGAAATTCAAATTGTAGCTAAAATGAGTAGCAAAAAATGTGAAGTTAGGGCTGAGGATTTAGCTCAGTGGCGCTGCAAAAAAAAATGTGAAGTTAGACTTGTACCTCACACCTATACAAAAATTAACTAAAAATGGATCATAACCATAAATGCAAAAGTAAATCCATAGCACATAGAAAATATAGACATACATCTTCATGCTCTTGGGTTTCTAATAATTTCTTAGACATGCTGTCATGTAGCACAATAAAAGAAAAAATAAAGTGGACTTTATCAAAATTGAAATTTTTTGCTGCAAGTGATACCACCAAGAAAATACAGAGGTCCAGGTGTGGTGCTGCATGCCAGTAATCCCAGTACCCTGGGAGGCTGAGGCAGAATGATCACAAATTTGAGCCCAGACTGGACAGCTTAGCAATTTAGCACAAATCTGTCCCCAAAATAAAAAAGGCTAGGGATGTAGCTCAGTGTGAAGGCCCTGGGTTCAATCCCCAGTAAACCCCATCCTCCCAAGTGTACATTAAACTCTTCAAAAGATTGCTTAGAGAAATTAAATACTTACATAAATAGATATATCATACTCATGGATTAGAAGATTCAATACTTATTTTAAATGGTACTTTCCCCCAAACTGAAGTATAGATCCTATATAATATTTTTTGTAGAATCTGACAACTCTTAAAATTTATGAGGTTACCTATGATATCCAGAACAAGATTGTTTGCATATTTGTTTTGTACAATGGCAGAGATCCAACTGAGAACCTTGCATGTGGAAGGCAAGCACCCTATCACTGAGCTACATTCTCCAGCCCAAAATAACTTTGAAAAAGAACAAAGTTGAAAGATTTACATTACTGAATTCCAGGCTTATAAAGCTACAGTTAACAAGACTATGTGACATGAACAGTCATGTTAGCATAGCAGAACAATTAAGATGGGCCTCAAATATATGATTAGTTGATTTTTTAAATTAATTAATTTATTTGCTGTACTGGGGATTGAACCCAAAGCCTTCAGGCTGAGCTACATCTCTGGCCCTTTTAAAAAAATTTTTATTTGAAACAGAATCTCACCACTAAGTCACTTAGGTTGCTCAGGCTAGGCTCAAACTAGTGATCTTCTTGTCACAGCCTCCTAGTGCCATTGGCCTGGCAGATTAGTTGATTTTTGTTAGAAATACCAAGGCAATTCAGTAGGTAAAGAATGAAATGTACAAAATGTAATATGTAGAGTTGGTATAGCTCAGTGACAGAGTGCTTGCCTAGCTTCTGTGAGGCCCTGGGTTTAATCCTCAGCACTACAAATAATTATTATTATTCCAAGTCTTTATGCCATATACAAAAATTAACTCCTAATGGATCATAGACCTATGTAGAAAAGTTAATACAGGTTGAACGTCCCTCATCCAAAATCTGAAAGTTTTAGATACTGAAATGACTCTCAAAAATTTTCAAATTTTAGGGGATGGGGATGTGGCTCAATGACAGAGCACTTGCCTAGCATGTGCAAGGCCACCAGGGATCAAATTCAGGACCTTGCGCTTGCGAGGCAGGTGGTGGCACCACTGAGCTAAATCCCTGGCCCCCGAAAAAATTTTTTTGAGGTTTTAGAACACTCCAGATTTTGGACTTTCAGATTTTAGATGCTCAGTAAAGGCCATACAAATAAATTCAAAATCTGAGAAACTGATTTTTTTTTGTTTTTGTTTTGATACTGAGGATCAAATATAGGGCCTTGTGCACACTAGGCAAGTGCTCTACCAGTGCAGTCCTAAAATTTTTAATAAAAGAAAAATGTTACAAGCTGACTATAGGGAACCCTTTAGGACACCCCCCCCCCCGAATACCTATAGGGAGAATAATGGAATAAAAGAGACAGAAACAATATTCACTGTGCAATGGGGGACTGGGAGGAATCTATCTAGTGGATCAGCTTCCACAAACTTCAGATGAACCCACTTTTATTATTCAGAAAGAGGCGAAGGGAAGCACGTAGTATACCATCCCAGGAACAGCACCCGTAGTAAGTTTAGAATAGCCAGATAGGGACCAAGTTCAGCATCTCAAAGGGAAGAGTTAAGGTCTTTCCCCATACCAGGATGTCTGCATCATTTATTGTCCCCATTAGAAGTTATCTTGCCTTAGCTATGATTATGGCTTTCCACATAACCAGAAAGTCTGTGATCTTATGCATACTTCTCTGTTCCTGAGGCAAGTTAACCCAGATGTGAGGCCTTTCTCTAATCTGGCCCCTCACCTCTGTGCATATCATGGCTGGTCCCCAACAGCTCTCCATACGGTAGTTTTCCTTTATCCATGGTTTTGCTTTCCATTGTTTCATTTACCCAGTTATCCTTGGTCTGAGGTAAGGAAGAGGTAGACTCTTCCTTAGTTTTAAATTGCATACCTGTCTGAGTTGCATGATGAAATCTCTAGCTTTCTCTCCTCATCCTGACCAGGATATGAATCATCCCTTTGTCCAGTGCATTCACTACCTGCTCATTAGTCCCTTAGTAGCCATCTGTATCATCAGCTCACCGGTCATGGTTTCATAGTAGTTGTGTTCAAGTAACCCTTATTTGCTAATGGTCTCAAACTACAATAAGTGTTTTATTTTGTTAATCCCTTACTGTGCCTAATTTATAAATTAAAGCTTTATAATAGAAATATAGCTCTGTGGTAGACCACTTGCTTAACATATGTGAGGCCCTGGGTTCACTTCCCAGTACCATCAAAACAGAACAAAAAAATAACATATCCACCAAAGATTTGTACACAGGTGTTCATGGCAGGTTTATTCTTAGTGGCTCCTAACTAACAAGTTAAATGTCCCTAGTAAGTGAATAGGTAAACATACTGGGTTATATTCATATAGTTTAATGAAAATGAATTAACTGCTTGTGAATGGAGCAACATGGATTTTTTTTTTTTTTTTTTGGTACCAGGGATCAAACTTGGGACCTTGCAAGGCAGTCAGCGGAACCACTGAGCTAAATCCCTGGCAACATGGATGTATCTTTAAAAAAAAAACATGCTCAGTAAAATAGCCTAGCAGAAAAAAAGCATATATTATATGATTCCAATTATATGAAATACTGGAATAGGTTTGCTAATTTATAGTGACAGTTGGGATTATTGGTGGTTGTCTGGGGCTGGGGTGTGGTTTAAAAAGTGATGGCAAAGGAGTATGTGAAAACTTGTGATGCCCGTGTCTTCATATTTATTGGGGTGGCACTGTTGTTAAAGTGGTATATAAATTTATTAAAACACATTGAACTATTTACAGTACTTAAAATGGGTATGCTCCCTTATATGTATTATACTTTAATAAAGTTGACTTTGTGTGTGTGTGTGTGTCTGTGTGTGTCTGTGTCTGTGTGGTGGTGCTGGGGATCAGACCCAGGGCCTTGTGCATGCTAAGCAGCCATTGTACCACTCAGCTACTTCCTCAGCCAATAAAGTTGATTTTGAGTTAGAAAAATATTAAGTATATTCTAAAATAGAATCTTTCAAACAGAAACAAAATCCATGTCCTGTATCTAATTAATAATAGAGCCATACAAAGAATAGTTCCTTTCTTTTGAATCCTTATTCTTTTTTTCTTTTCTTTTTTTTGGTACCGGGGATCGAACTCAGGACCTTGCGCTTGCGAGGCAGGCGCCGGAACCACTGAGCTAAACCCCCAGCCCTTTGAATCCTTATTCTAACTGTATAGCCTTACTGAAATATGATTTTGGGGACAAAAAAGCGCTGTAAGTAAATACTGACCTTTACTTAGTAGGTTTATTTTTGGTAGCATGCTATTACAGTATTCTTGGATAAGGTGCCGAATAAATATATTGATGTAATTGTGAACCAGGATTTTGACTGTAGGTGATCAAAGATAACCTGCAGATTGGAAATGAGGGAAGATGAGGAAATCAGTTGCCTACCTAATTTCAAAGGCTTTACAAGAAAGTTCACATTGACAACTTTTTTTTTTTTTGGTGCCAGGGATCGAACTCAGATCCTTCCGCTTGCACAGCAGGCGGCGAAACCAGTGAGCCAAATCCCCGGCCCAACATTGACAACTCTTTTCGAATCAAATACAAATTTCCTCATCTTCCCTCAAGGGCTTTACAAATAGTAGGCAAGCTCTCTACTACCACTGAACTATATAGTCCCAACCTCAAAATTGGGAAATTGGGATATGACTACATTTTGTATGATTATTGAATCAGTGTTAAATTTCTTCATGTCTAATGATGATTGGCCCTTTAAGAGAAGGGCCTTATTCCTAGAAGATACAGCTAAAGTATTTAGGGTTGCAGTACCACAATGTCTGCAAGTTATTTTTAAGGGGTTTAAAGAAAGAAATATAAAATATTAATTACTGTTCAATCTTAACTGGTAGGTATAGTATATGAGTGTTCATTGTACTATTTTTGATTTTTTGTGGGCTTAAAATATTCAAAATAAAAATTAAAAGGGAAAATTACCTTGTTCTGAATTATTTTCAAAATGTTTGAGTTACTGGGAAGTAATATAAATTTATTTGAATTATCTGATGTTCCATAGAATGTCAGAACTAAAGAGGCTTTTGAATTTATTTTCTTTGGTCCCTTTTTCATATAGGTGAATAAATTAGCCCAACAGTAATGAGTCGCTTATATAAATCACACTGTAAGCCAGCAGTAGAGCTTAAACAGTGAACTCAGGTCTGTTTCCCAGGATATTACTGTCTGCACTGTACCCTGCTATGTCTCCTAGTAAAAGGCCTCTGAGGTAAAGCTGAATAAAGGTAAATACTATGGATCATTTTTCCCTTTTGTACAACTTCAGTATATTTTCCCCATTGTGACAATGGATTTGTGAACTTGTGAGACTTATCTGTTGGGTCAAAGCCTTCTACTACTATAATCTGTTTTGTTTTTACCAGTTCCACACAATCCCCAGTTAAGGCAAGTTCTGTTTTCAATAGTTGTTCTTGAAAAACATTTTGTTTTGGTACTGGGGATCAGACTCGGGACCTTTTGCTTGCGAGGTAGGCGGCAGAACCACTGAGCTAAATCCCTGGCCCTGTCCTTGAAAATTTTTGATGGTATAGTTTAGGCTGTGTGTTTTGGGTTACTGATTTTTTAATATCCTCTAGTTTAAGCTATGAAGAAGGACCTCCCTCCCAGTCTGGACCAGATCTCCAGAGACAGATGTTTGCAGCCTCTCATCAGCTTCCTGCATATGCACCCACACCTCAGCCAGCTGGTACAGTTCTCTTGTGAAGTGTGCTCCCAGCCGGGGTACAGTGAGTGAAGAAGAGAAACTGGGGTTTATGTTTTGGGTTATAGATGTAATATGTGGGGCATGAGTATGCCATGGGAAATGCCAAAGTGAAAATGAGATGAAAAACTTTGGTTTTTTTACAGGTAGTGTATATAATTGAGAAATCTTATGCATCTTTGAAGAGTTTAGATTATGATGCTTGGTTAAATTAATATTTGTTTGCTGTTTTAAAATAAGACCATTTAGTATAATAGAATTTTTTGGATTCAGTTTTCAGAAATCCTTTTTTAGACTAGGAATAGAATTTATGTAAGTATATATTTTTTACTTTGGGGTTTGTTTTATCTTTCAATGTAGGGCTTTCAGGAATATTTGAGACGAATGTGAACAGTGCCAGCACCAACACTAAAGAATCTTCTGTGATGAATTTTCTCTCCACTATTGAGTCGCGAACTGCTCAGGCTGCTTCTTCAGGAACTACTCTTCTACCACAGTTCAGGGCTCCATCCTGGCAGACAGGTGATTCTTTGTTTTTGGAATTTTTAAGTTCTTTAAAAATGCCAATCAAAAATGTACCTTTAATGTCCTTGTGATTATGATGTAGCTGAGAGTGATCATAATTATTGATTTTCTAATGAACTTTAAAACTAGCATCTCTTACACACTTTTTTCATTTGTTTGCTTTTTATTTTTTGTTTTTTGACACAGGATCTTGGTATGTAGTTCAGACTGGCCTTGAGTTCATTATGTAGCCCAGGCAGGGCCCAAACTTGAGGTGATCTTCCTGCTTTAGCTTCCCAAGTGCTGGGATTATAGACGTGCACCACCATGCCTGGCTCTTACAGTTTTAAGGTAGATAAAATTTAAGAATTTGTTTTAGCTCTCTGATGAAAACTAACGAGTTCACATTGAAGGGCTGATAATTATTAAAGATAAACTCTGATGTAAAGGTTTTTTTTGACTTTGGCAGTTTAAGTACTTGTCTGAGAGAAGCAGAGATTAAATTTTGTTTAATGACTTCAGGCTGGGTGAGTGGCATAGTAAAAATTAATCTTGGGAATCATTTAATCATTAGTGGTATGTAAAGTTATCCTTATTTGAACAGATTAAATCACTATTTAATAAAAGCCATTACAAGTTGGTATTATTATATTGTACCCATTTTTAATAATAATATCTATATGTACTTTTCTATATTTCATTTTTTTAAAATTTCACTTTTCAGTGATTTCAAATTATTTGTAAACCCAGGTGTAGCAGTCCACACCTGTAATCCCAGGTATGTGGAAGGCTGAGGCAGGAGGATTGTAAGTTCAAAGCTAGCCTAGACAATTTAGCAAGACCTTGGCTCAAATAAAAAATAAAAAGGGCTAGGGATCTAGCTCAGTGGTAGAACACCCCTGGGTTCAGTCCCCAGTACCTGGGGGGAAAACTATTTGTATATCCAACTTTTATTTTGTGTAAGATTACAGGATTGGGGGGTTGTTTTCTTTTTCTTTTTTTTTTATACCAGGGATCGAACTCGGGTCCTTGTGCTTGTGAGGCAGGCGGTGGAACCACTGAGCTCAATCCCTGGCCCTAGGGGGGTTGTTTTAAGGAAGAAATGTCATACCATATTTGAGAAGATTTTAAAAGTAATAATTATAAGAAATAATATTTTATTATTCTGATGTGAATTCCATAGTAGAGCTTCTCTGTATGTACAGCAACACTTATTCTCTGCTTCTAAAGGGATAAAGTAGTGTAAAGTATTTACAGTGAAAAGTATTTCTAGTGTAAAATTTTTTTTTTTAAAGCCTGGCTTCATTTTTTGCTTCTGAAAATAAGTCTATATTTCTTGTATTTATTAGTTTGACTTTCTGTTTATCAGTACATTTAATGCTGAAACTTACTAAGAGTTTGTTTTAAAATAAAACAAAGGAAAATTTGTTAATATTTTTGATGTTTAAAGAAGGCAGGAAGGCTTTTAACTCAACTCTGAGCCAACACGTTGTGTAAATTGTTCTTAACTCTGTACAGTTTGGTTTTAATTTTTTTGTTTCAAGTTTCTAAAAAATTGGCCAGGCGTGGTAGTGCATGCCTGTAATCCCAGCACTTAGGAGGCTGAAGCAGGAGGATTGCCATGAGTTCGAGGCCAGCCTGGACTACATAGAGAGACCATGTCTCAAAAAAAATTTTTTCTTTAAAGTTTAATTCTATAATTTTTTTCTTTGGTACTGGGGATTGAACTCAGGACCTTGTACTTGCTAGGTAGGTGCAGTGCCACTGAGCTAACTCCCCAGCCCATAATTTTATAATTTGTATCTGGTCTCATAATTGAACTGCATTCAGAAGGGCCTTGGAGGGCTGGGGAATTAGCTCAGTGGTTTCGCTGCCTGCTGTGCAAGCGCAAGGACCTGAGTTCGATCCCCGGTACCAAAACAAAACAAAACAAAACAAAAAAATTTTTTAAAAAAAGAAAGAAAGAAAAAAGAAACTATTCCTTAAAAAAAATGGGCTGGGGATTTAGCTCAGTGGTTCCCTTGCCTGCCTTGCAAGCGCAAGGTCCCAAGTTTGATCCTTAGTACCAAAAAAAAAAAAGAAAAAAGAAACTGTTCTTCAGAAGGGCCTTGGACTCTTGGATTAATTGGGTAGAATTTTTATGATCTTTGTGTTTTTTTTCTAGAGCACTACAAATTTTATTGTCATAAGGCCACATAAAAATATTGGTGTGTTTTGATGCCCATTAAACTGGACCTAACTACCTTCTGTGGGAAACAAGACAAGAACATATATATACACACAAATACACCATTAGTTGGAAGAAGGTATTGGTGTTAATGTGTCAGGGTAAAGAGCATCTTTTTTGTTTTGTTTTCTGGAGGCAGGGTCTCACTATGTAGTCCAGACTGACCTTGAACTTACTATGGAGCCCAGGCTGTCCTTGAACTCGAAGAGATTCTCCTGTCTCAGCCTCTGAAGTGTTAGGATTTCACCCAGCTAGGATAAGGAGCATCTTAGGTTGAAATGTCTGAGAATATAACATGAGTGTTGAGTGCCTTTCACAGCATCTTCTGTTGATGTGCTGTGGTGAATTTGCTAACCTCTGTGACTCCCTTCTCCACTGATCTGTCATGCAGAAGTCAGTCAAATGAGAAAAATCCTTTACTGCTGTACAGGATAGGCCTTTGTAGCTATCCTCTTCATTCTAAGCATAACTGTAATAGCGTCAGTTTCCACTGTAACAACAGTGGGTTTGTTAGCTAGTACAATATATTACCTGAAAGCATGCTCTAACTTTAGAATAACCTTTATAACCAAATTATTTATTTATTTGCAACTTTATATTTAGCCGAGTTTCATTTCTTTATTACTGTCTACCTTTACTATTTTAACCCTTTCCCTCTAAACACACATAAAAGGATATACCTGCTAAAGAGGAATGAATAAGTTGATTAGAAGTTCATGAATATAACCGAGTAGCCCTGTGACCTTGGCAAGTCACATACTTCCTGGAACCACAGTTTTCTCATTGATAGAGCAAGAGACTTTAACTAGATGATTTCAGAAGTCTGTTCTGGTACTGTGACTGTAGTGTTTTTAACTTTAATTCTGAATGTTGTTCTTTTTTTTTTTCTTTTTGGTACCGGGGATCGAACTGGGAACCTTGTGCTTTCGAGGCAGGCGCCAGACCCACTGAACTAAATCCCCGGCTGAATGTTGTTCTTTTAAGTGCCACTAGAACTTGTATCTTTGTACCAGTAACACTTCTGATATTTAGTAGAAAGAAGTGAGAAATTGTCTTTCAAAGGAACAGAGACTCTTTGTTCCCCCTTTTTCCAAAATGAAAGAAAAAATTATCATTGAACCTAGGACCTTGAACATAAACAAAATTCTTAATGGACACTATGAAACATTTAAACAATAAAAAATGTGTATAAGAGGAAAATGTTAGTTCCTAACTCCAGTCTCACTTTTTTAGAAAGAAGCTAACAGTTTGGTGTTTATTTTTCTTGGTTATCTTTTTGTTAAAACATACACATCGTCAGGCCAGGGATTTAGCTCAGTTGCGCCACCTGTCTCGCAAGCTCAAGGCCCCAAGTTCAGTCCCCGGTACCAAAAAAAAACCAAAACATACACATAGTGTGATTTTCAAAAACATGGTGAATGTTTAAATTTTAAAAATTTATTACATTAAAAGATACATTGCCATCAGTCACCCTCAGAATACTTCCCCTTGCTTTGAATGCACATTCTTTTCTTGCCACTTTCTGAAGCAGTTCTAGACTTCCTTTCATGAAGGTCTTTAGTTGTGTTGTTGTGGCTCCCTTGACATCTTGAATCAATTCAGAATGTTTACCTTTCATGGCCATTTTGACTTTGTAGATGGGCCCAGAAGTCTTAGGGTGCTATATTCCATGAATAAGGGTACGTGAAAATGCAGTGGACCCTTGACTTATGAACTCAATTTATTTGTGAGGGCTGGTTGTAACTCAAGTTGGTTGTAAGTCAAGACTATTTTTCCCATTGGAAATACCCATAATGCATTCCAAACCTCCCAATGCACCCCTTAACCTTTTCACTATAAAAAAGGCTTGTAGAATGTGCGTAGAAAGACCAATAATTTTCCTAGTGTATTCACTAAAAAGTTATAAAATGTGCCTAGTTTCCCAAAAACAACAATTTTATACTGTACTCACTGTTCAAATTAACATCTTTGCAGGAAGGGAGGATGAAATGGAAGATGGTTCTTGTTTGGAAGGAGAGTCCTCTTCCATAAGAAATCTGGTTCTCTGGTGCTTTTGGCTCACTAGGTCTCACCCTTCTCAGATCTAAAAACTGAACTGAGGTTGTCTGTTTCTGTCTTTTCTTCAACACTGTTCTGTAATATGACATGACATTGTCATTAAGCAAGTGAATGGAACAATTGGCTTTTTCTGTTTGGCTGGGTCTTTTCTACACATGTTTATGGCTCTGTCCAGTTTTTCAGGATTTCCTTTATTTCAGAAGAACTTTGCTGCACTGATTGTTGATACTCCCCTGCTCTTCAGAAAGCTCCTCAGCTGCCATTCTCTGTTGTTCAGCCAGAAGTTGCTGAAGTTCCCCTGTAGACAGGTCCTCTGAGTGCTCATCCACCAGTTCTTCAACATCACCACTGTCTACTTGCAAGCCTATGGACTCTGCTATGGTGACAGTGTCATCAACCGTAGGGTCAATTGAAGGCTCATAGCCTTCAAAGTCTCTCTCCTGTATAATTTTAGGCCACACTTTCTTCCAGGCAGATCTCAGTGTCCTTAGAGAGACATTGGCCCAGGATTTCTCAATTAACCCCACACAGGAAGGATGTTGTAATGTTCCCTCCAGAACTCTTTAAGGGTTAAATCTGTATCTGAGACCATCTGGAAGCACTTCAGGAACAGCTCCTTGGTGTATAGCTTCTTAAAGTTAGCTATAACCTGCTGGTCCATAGGGTGTAATAGAGGAGTTGTATTAGGTGAGAGGAACTTGACTGAAAGCCATGGGAATTCTTCAGCCAATTCTTCTTCCAAATCTCGTGGATGACTGCGAGCACTGTCCATGATAAGGAGAGCCTCGAGTGATAAACCTTTGTCCTTCAGATATTTAACAGTAGGACAGAAAGCTTCTCTGATCCACTGAAGAAAAAGTACTCTTGTTACCCAGGCTTTTGTGTTGTAGCTCCATCTGACCCCTAGCCTATTTTCATGACTTTCTGTTTTGTTTTGTACCGACGATCGAACTCAGGACCTTGTGCTTTCGAGGCAGGTGGCACCACTGAGCTAAATCCCCGGTGACTTTATTTTCTGAACACTGTAGGAGTCTCAGAGTCATAAACCAAGAGAGGCCTTATCTTGAGGTCACCACTCACATTGGCACGTAACAGTAAGGTTAGCCTATCCTTCATAGGCTTGTGGCCTGGCATTTTCTTCTCTTCCTAGGTAATGTGTGTTCTCCCGGGCATTTTTTTTCCAGAGAAGGCCAATTTCATCACAGTTGAAAATTTGGTAAGAGCAAAAGCCATTTCTCTGTCATTTCAAAGTGGTCTAACACTGTTGATTGTGACTTGCTAATTTGAGTAACACCTTTAGCAACACTAGCTTCCTTGTACAAATTTTTCTTTGTAAGATTGTCATGATGGTGAATTTCGACATGCTGTACATGTTATTACTGAGATTAGTCACATGAATACCACTCTTATATTTCTGCACAATTTCCTTTTTTAAATTGTGATTGCTTTCTTTACCATCCCTTCCTTAGCTTCTTTTTTAGCTTTTTGGGGGCCATTTTGATAGCAGTAATCATAGCAATTATATAAAGCACTGACCAAAATCATATCCACAAACGTGCATCTGGGCTCAGACTGACACTTACATATGCTTTTCTGGCATCATAAGTCTTTGTTTACAACTGCACAAGTGGCCAGCATTTGGGTTGTAACTCAAGGCTTTGGTCGTAAATTAAAACTAAAATTTCAATCATAACCCAAGTTGTTCATGTGTTAGGCCAGTCATAACTGGAGGGTCCACTGTACTAGGATTTAAGAGGTGACTATAAAAAGAATTAGAAAGGGGCTGGATGTGGTGGCCCACCCCTGTAATCACAGCACTCAGGAGGCTGAACCAGGAGGATCACTACAAGTTTGAGGCCAGCTTGGGCTACATAGTGATTTCAAGGCCAGCCTGAGCTACATAGGGAGACTCTGTCTCAAACCAAAAAAAAAAAAGAGAGAGAACAAAAAGGAATGGTTAAGATAACAAATATCTATTGTTCTACCTGTCCATGAGTATCGTTCTTCTGGAAATAATTCTTCTAACCAGGTGATTCAGTTCAGACCTGCTGTGTTCTTATAAGCCCTGCCTTCAAGACTGCTATTAATTGTGATCAACCAATTATAGTGACTGGTCCAGGAATGAGGACCTGACCTATGATAGGCCAATCAGAGCCTCTCCTTGAAACTTTAACGTTGGGGTCAGTGAAAGAAGTTCTCAGACCTTCTATGATGTTTTAACCATTCACTGTATATTTTGACCACCTGTTGTATATCTGCCTAATCACTGTTTGTTTTTAGTATATGGCCTGATGATTTGATTGTCTCTTGTTGGTGGACATTTTAGTTATACTTTAGAAATGGCTATGAACACCTTGCATAAATATCTTTGTGTCCACTTCCATAAGATAAGCATCTAAAAGTAGGACTTCTGGATCACATTTTTATTCTTTCTTTTTGTAGTTAGAATGCTGTCCTGAAATGTTAATCTCGTTAATTTCTGGTGATCCTTTCATAATAAATCTGCATTTATTGTTATCGGAAAGTTTTTCAGAGGAAGTCAATCCTGAAGTGCAAGAGGCTTTTTTTTTTGGTACCGGGGATCGAACTCAGGACCTTGTGCTTTTGAGGCAGCTGGGGGAACCACTCAGCTAAATCCCTGGCCCTGCAAGAGATTTTGTATTTTTTTTATATTTGGTGCCAGGGATCAAACTTGGGTTCTTGTGCTTGTGAAGCAAGCGGCGGAACCACTGAGCTAAATCCCCAGCCTGCAAGAGATTTTTTAAATGAATGTATTCTGGTAAAAGGAAGTGGTTTTTTTGGTGCCAAGGATCGAACTCAGGACTTTGTGCTTGCGAGGCAGGTGGTGGCACCACTGAGCTAAATCCCCAGCCCAGGAAGTGTTATTTTTAGATTTACTTGTCTTGTTAAATGAAGGCTGTTTAGTGTTGATGTTTCAGTATCAATGATTTATATACTTTAATTTGTTGGTATTTTGCATTAAAAACTCAAAGTATATTAAACACTAGCGATTACATTCATTTTTACTGGTTTCTTTGTTTTCATATGGCCTTGTCCAACAATATACAAACTCACTCATTACAATTACAGATACAAAAGAAAGCTATATATTTTGAAATGTAATTTTCAAATTTTACATGCAAAATTAATTTTTCAGGCTTTTCAGCCTTACAGACATTTTGGCAGGCTGATAGTTATATGTCACTACTAGGAAAACATTAATTTATATGTTTATGTGATAATTACATTAAAATCTTTGTACCTCCTCTTCACAGGCATGCATTCCTCAGCAGCAACTGAGTTTGTTACTGGACCTTTGCCAACCACTGGAACTCTTCCACCATCTGCCCTCTCTGCTTATCAGCATCCTGCCACCTTTAGCAATAGAAACTTTGTTTCCACCTCACCTTTGGTGCTTCAAGACTCAACTTTTAACACTACGTCAAATGGAATTTTAAATCCTCATGACCCTTTGGTACAAATTAAGACTTCCCAGGGAACTCTTCCAACTGCTTTGGCATTTGAGCGCCTAGGCAGTTCTGCATTAAGTAACAATGTACCACCTCAGTCTTCAACATATCGCTCAGCTCAAGAGTCTGCACCCCATCTTTTACAACCTCAGTTTAGTTTGTTGCCTTCAGCACTGGGGGGAGCCCAGCAAACTCCTCAAGCTTACAGTTCAACTCTCTTCTCTAGTTCTGCTCCCATTGAAAGAGCTCTTCTTCGAGAATGTAGTGTTATTAAACACCATCAGCGGCCTTCAGGTACCCAGTCTATTCAGGCACAACTGACTGGTGCACAGCATTCCTTACATAGTTATCTAGCAAATACAGATGTGGTTAATTTTCAGGAAACAACCAGGCAGTCATCTTTACCTTGTAGCCCAATCGGAGATTCTACTCAGGTGAGCAATGGAGGTTTGCAGCAAAAGACCCCACAGGTCTCTGTGGAACTTGCTCAGTCTTATTCATCTGCAATTCCATCATCAGGGTATCCTCCTGCTACTACAAAAGTAAACAGCTGTTCTACAAAACAAGCACTAACATCAACTAAGACCCCACAGCCTCAAAATATAATTCCTCCTGTGCAAACACTAAGCTATTCTAAACCTTTACATAACCAGAGTTCTGTAATATCAGGTCAAGCACAAATCTATTCTACAGCACAGCTGCCCAGCCTTTTATCAGTTAGTCAGTCCCAAAATTATGGTTTAATACAGCCACATAATGTGCCATCTATTGTTCATTCACAAGTTTATAGGCCCAGCAAGGTGGAGAAATTGCCATCCTTGTATAAAACATTGACTTTTTCTGGGTCATCTCAGACTATAACTTCTGAAAATCAGCCACTTAGTTACTCATCCAGTCAGCAAGAAGTATTATCTTCAGTTACAAATGAGAATTACCCTGCTCAAACAAGAGATCTTTCTTCAGTCAGTGAGTCTCAAAGTTACTCATCTGGTCACTCTCAGGGTTTATCACCAGTCAGCCAGACACAGGTTAGTTTTTCATCTCAGTCACAAGTTTTGTCAGTTGTTAGTCCTTCAGATAACTATGCTTCAGGGCAGTCCCTGACATTAACAGCCCCTTCTCTTTCTTATTCTTCTGCCTCTCAGCCCCAAAGTTTGTCAGATTCTAACCCAACCCAAAATTACATTTCTATGCATTCTTCCCAGAATGCCCAGACTCAAGGGTCATCATCTCCCCAGCCCCAGAAGTTTTTGCCTGCTGTTCAGTCATCATCTTTTGCATCCTCTACACATTGTCATGCATTACAGAATAACATACCTTCCCCTGATTCAAAGTCTTATGCTGAAGGAAAACTTGGCTCAAATGTGTACACATCTTCAAAGCAAGAAGGTGATTTTCCAATGCAAGAGTTACAGGCATTGCAGTCACAGGCGTCTCTCGGGTCGACAACCCAAAGGCTATCAGATGGGGAAATTAATGCTCCAGAATCAACTTACAAGGGGTCAAAGGCAGATGACAGATACTCCCAGAGTGTAATCAGAAGTAATTCCCATCTTGAAGATCAAGTTGTTGGGATTCCTATACAAGGGCCAAAGAAAGAAGAAAACATAGTTGGTTCAGTGACACAACTTAGCCAACAAATTGGTCAAGCTAATAACGGAGCATCACTTGATCGTAAGAAGGCAACTAATTTAATACAAACTCCACAAATAAGTTTGAATACTAAAGACTTAAACCAGCAGCATCCTCTTATACATAAGGTACATGAAGCCAAGGTCCAGGAACAGCATGATCAAATAATTAATGCCTCATCTCAGATTCAGATTCCAGATCATGCATTAGGGCATGGACATCAGGCATCTCTTACTAATGCACAGGTCCTTTTAGATTCTACCTGTGATTTACAGATTCTTCAGCAGTCAATACTGCAGGCAAGTTTAGGACAAGTAAAGACATCTTTACAAGCACAGCGTGTCCAGAGTCCTCAACAAATAGTGCATCCTTTCCTTCACATGGATGGTCATATTATTCAGAGCAATGGTGATCATTCTCAGCAGCAACTCCATCCTCAAAATTCTGAAATTATGAAAATGGACCTCTCTGAATCTTCAAAACCATTACAACAACATTTGACAACAAAGGGCAATTTCAGTGAAACAGATCAACAAGATTCAAAGAATCAGTTTGTTTCTCTTGGATCAATGTGTTTCCCAGAGGCAATGCTTCTCAGTGATGAGAGAAATATTTTGTCAAATGTAGATGACATCTTAGCAGCTACAGCAGCAGCTTGTGGGGTCACACCTTCTGAGTTTTCCAAGTCAGCTCCAAATGAAACCATGCAAACTGTTGAAGGTCATGATTCTAAATCTCATTTTCCACAGCCATTAGATATCAGGCATGTGGTATCAAATTTTAACTCCGTAACAGCTACAGTAGGAAAGCCACAGAATCTAAATGATATTTCCCTAGATGGAAATCAGGTTACTGTAAACATTTCACCAGTACCGACCCTTCAGTCAAAAATGACCCTTGATCAACAACACATGGATACACCTGGTCAAAGTATACCAACTAAAGTATCTTCAGCAGGAGTTGGACCAAGTCATGAAGTCCAGGAGCAAAGTTGTGGCCCATTCAGGAAACAGTCTGCTACCAATCATGAATCTGAGGAAGACAGTGAAGTTCCTGTTGATCATACATTAAATAATAACAGAAACCAAGAGTTTGTTTCCAGTAGTAGAAGCATGAGTGGAGAGAGTGCTACATCAGAGAGTGAATTTACTTTAGGGGGTGATGACAGCAGTGTGTCAATGGACCCTACTAGAAGTGTACTTGCACTGTTGGCTGTGGCCCAGCCTGGGGATACAATCAGTGTCAAGCTTGAAGAAAACCAAGATTTAATACATCTTAACCTTCCAAAGAAAAAGGTTAAAGGGAAAGGGCAAATTAAAGAGGAAGACATCAGTAATCAGAAACAACTGAAAAGACCTGCCCAAGGCAAACGCCAGAATCCCAGGGGAACAGATATGTATCTACCATATACCCCTCCTTCCTCTGAAAGCTCCCATGATGATGATCAGCATCAAGAAAAAATGAGACAGAAAATCAAAGAAGTAGAGGAAAAACAGCCAGAAGTCAAAACAGGATTTATTGCTTCTTTCTTGGATTTTCTGAAATCTGGCCCCAAACAGCAGTTTTCCACTCTTGCCATCCGAATGCCTAACAGGACCAGACGACCAGGGACCCAGATTGTGCGTACATTTTGCCCCCCTCCATTTCCAAAAAATTCATCTACAACACCCATACCTTTAGTGACGGAAACTGGGGGTAACAGTTCATTAGAAAAAGTTGATAAACTTAAAAGCTTGGAACATTTATCTTCATTTTCTTCTGACGAAGATGATCCTGGAGTATGCAGTCAGGATATTTATAAAACCATCTCTGCTTCCTTAACTGTGTTGGATGCTACTTCTAATAAAAAGAAGAAAACAGGTAAAGTTTTAAATAGATTCACAATTATGGCTTTCCATTGTTTTTTAGCTATAGCCTACATTTTAAGCTTTTTTAGCTTACAGAAGATCTGTAAATTTTGGGGGAAAATACATAAGCAAACATCTTAGGTACTTTTTTTTTTCTTTGGTACCAGAAATCGAACTTGGGACTTTGTACTTGTGAGGCAGGCAGTGGAACCACTGAGCTAAATCCCCGGCCCCGGGTACTTATTTTTGACAGTTATCTTGTGATAGGAAAGGTCGTGGTCTTAGTTTATATAATTCTGTGGGGTTTTTTTGTTTCGTTTTTTTTTTTGACTTTTTGCCCCAGGCATTAAAACTTGAAAGGTATCTCAGCTTTTCTGAGTCATTTTGAAATAGCTTTTCAATACCATGAGGCATGGTGTTGGAGTTCCTATCTTATAAACCTGGCAAATTTTCTTGATATGCTGATTTTACCTGAAAATTAGCATTTTACTATTAAGTAGTTATGTGTAACATTCATATTAATCTAATTAAAACTGTAATTTTGTACTGGCTCTGAACTACAGTATATACCCAAATCGTTTCCATGTGCTTCACTTTATTCTGGGTTAATACAGGAAATGTTTTAAGAAACATTGCCTTCTTTAAACAATTAACAGGTAAGTATAAAAGTTATTATTTTAAGGAATAAACCAAGGAAAATATTATTTGTAACAATAATGTAGCTATCACCACCATGCCAGGAACCAGTAGCAGTGTTGTGAGATATGCATTATTGCCTTCAACATACCAATATGACAGAGTAAAGGAACTGCTTAGGTCCCTATAGCTAGTAAGTGCAACAGGGCTTTAATCTGAACCCATGTTTGTCTGGTTCTAGCGCTTGTATTCCTGCTGAGCTCTTTTGTATTATTAGGGCAGTGCTGTAAGAATTAAAACTATTTTATAATGTATACTTGTCAGCTTTTTTTTATGGACTTGAGACCACCTTTAATTATTAAGGTAATGGAAACAACTGGTGTTCCAAATAATAATATAAGTGATAATAAGTGCATTTCTAAACAGTTCTCATTCACTACACAGGGGAATTAGAATAATGGAAAGTCAGTCTTAGATTCAAAGACATTTCTGTGGATGTGGCCAATCTTAGTAAGGTTTTTTGCTCTTCTCTCCCAATTCTGAGTGCTTTGCAATTCTTATATTTTCTTTTTCATTCTAGGACAAACCTTTTGTAGTCTCTGATCTAAAATACGAGTCTGAAATTAGTTTCTTTCAGGCAAACATTATCTCATTGTTAATTATAATCATCACCATCAACCCAATCAGGTCTTTGGTCTTGTCACCATCCCTGTTGTCTCAAGAATTTACAAGAAGTAATTGTTTTGCTTGGACTATTGCTCCAGACTTTGAATCAGAATCTTTCTCACCAGTCCTTCATCAATCCGTCCTCTACATTGCCATCACACTTATCTTTATTAAAAAGGAATAGTGATTATTACTTCTACTTTGAAACACTCCTTTGGGCTCATGGGAAAATATAAAGACAGTAGTAAAAATTGTCCCATTTCCATGTTTAACACTCTTGCTCTGCTCTTTCTACTTTCCCTCTTTTGTAACAACTGAATTTGTTTCTTAAACATCTGACCTCTTTTCACAATTATATCCTTGAACATATTTCTACCCATACTGCTATCTTCAATTTTTTAATGCAGCAGTTAATTATCTTTTAAGACTATATAAAGGAACTCATTCTAATGAAATATACATGTAGATGTTAATGTATTAAAGCACAAAAGTAAATGGTTTCACAGACATTTAAGGCCTGTTGGAATTAAAAAGATTAACAAAAGAAAAGCAAATTTATTAACTTATAGCTCATATTACAGAAGTTTAGAGAAATGAGTGATCTCTAGATTTCAAAAGAAATCCCTGGAAGGCTGAGACAAGAGGATTGCAAGTTCAAGCTCAGACTGCACAGTGTAGTGATTTATGAGACCTTGTCCCGAAATAATAATAAAAAAAATTTAAAAGGGTTCAGGATATAATTCAATGCAAAAGTCTGAATTGAATCCCCAGTGTGGCCAGAAAACAAACAAAAGAATTTACAAGCATTTACAGATTTAAATACCATTGTTTGCCAAATAGAATATGGAAAAGGACCAAAAGAAAATTATCTTAAACAAATTTTTTAAAATTTTTATTTGTTTATTGGTTTTTTTAAAGACAGGATCTCTCTATATAGTTCAGGCTGACCTTAAATTCATCTTCCTGCCTCAGCTTCCTGAGTACTGAGATTATAGACTTGTACCACCATACCTGGCTTTTTTTATTTGTAAGATTTCCTACACAGTGTTGTCTTTAAGTCCATGATTTAATAGATTTAGAATATCTGGTAATGTAACTGTCCTTTTCTTTATCTCGTGTGTGTGTGTGTGTGTGTGTGTGTGTGTGTGTGTGTTGGGATCGAAACCAGGGACCTGCTAGGTAAGGGTTCTACCACTGAAATACATTCCTACTTTATCTTTTCTTCCTGATGCAGAGACAATACATACTGTGCAGTACGTACTGTACTTGCATATTGTATATAAATTTCTCAAGGGGCAACTTTTCAGAGCATCTCTTGTTGTCTGCAGTTTTCACAAAACAATCTTTTTGCTAGATCTTGTCTCCCACTGTCACATAGTGGATGAAGGAAATGACTTGTTCTTAGCCTCATTGATTCAGTAATAAGATCTGAGGCACTAAACTGGGCACAATGAGACACACCTGTAATCCCAACTATTCAGAAGCCTGAGCCAAAAGGTTCACAACTTTGAGGCCAGCCTGGACAACTGAGTAAGACTGTATCTCAAATAAAATATAAAGTATAAAACTGGGGATATAGTTTAGTGGTGGAGTACCTCTGGGTTATCCCCAGCCACAAAGAAAAAAAAAAATCTGAGGCATGGGTTGAAGCTAAGGTTTTGCATATGAAATCCCAACTTTTCCTGCATCGTTTATTAAGAAGGCTGTCTTTTCTCCATTGATTACCTTTTTATCTATGTCAGAAATCAGCTGTGATATTTGGATTATTTCTGAACTCTCATTTCTCTTCCATTGTTATATGTGTTTGTGCTTTTACCAATACTCTATTGTCTTAATGCTGTAACTATAGAGTAAGTCTTAAAATAGTTCAACATGAACCCTTCAGGATTATTTTTCAATATTGTTTTAACCATTTTAGTTCTTTTTTCCATTTTGTTTTTTGGTACCAGGGATCAAAGTCAGAACCTTGCGCTTGCTAGGCAGGCACAGGTGCCACTGAGCTAAATCCCCAGATCTTTAGTTCTTTTTTTCCATGTAATTTTCAATTCCTTGGTCATTATCTACCAAGAAAAAGAAAGCCTGCTGTTTATAGTTGGATAAGAAAAATACATTTAGTGTTCTGTAATACCATAGGGTAACTGGTTGACATAATGTATACTTCAAAAGAGCTGTTAGAAAAGATTTTGAGTGTTCACTTTTACAAAATAAGTGTACCTTTTAAACTACATAATGTGAATAAAAAAGGGCTTACTGGGATGATTTCATTGACTCTGTAGCAGTTTTTAGAATGGAACTGTTAACAGTATATTAATGGAACACTGTCTTTCTATTTGATTTTTTCATTTGTGTCTTTTATTGTTTGGCATATAGGTCTTTCACATGCTTTGTTAGATTTATACCTATTGGGTGCTTTTGTGAATTATATTTTTAAAAATTTCAAATACCAATTATACATTAGTAAATTATAAAAATATAGTTGAGTTTTACATATTTACCTTAAATCCTGGGGATTTGCACACAGCTCTTGTATTACTTCTAGGTATTTATTTATGTATTTATTTATGTGGATTCCGCAGGATTTTCTGCGTAGGCAGTGAATCCCTCTGCAGATTAGGGAAGTTTTCTATCTTTGAAGGCTGTGGCTTCATAGATGATGTTTCATAAGAGTTGTAAGTGTAGACATCTTTGATATTTGGGAGAAAGAAGTCAGTCTTTTAGCCCAGTGGTGATGCACACTTGTAATCCCAGCACTCGGGTAGCTGAGGCAGGAGGATTGCCATGAATTTGAGGCTAGCCTGAACTAATAGGGAGACTCTATGAAAAAAAAAAAAGTGTGTTCTTTTGTATAAATTGTTCTATAAATACCAGATTGAAAAAATATATCAGATTGAGTTGGCTGTTAGTATTGTTCACCTTGCTGATTATCTGTTGACTTAATGTTTTAATAATTGAGAGAGGAATGTTGAAATCTCCAAGTATATTTTATGGACATATCTTTTACTCTTTTCAGTCTTTGCTGGGGATCAAACTCGGGTCCTTGCTGCCTGCTGCGCAGGCGGCAAAACCACTGAGCTAAATCCCCAGCCCTTCTGTTTTTAGTTGTATCCAGATTTAGGGTTAAGCCTTGATTAGTTGACAGCTTTGTCAGTATGGAGTGTTCTTTATCCCTGGTAATAACCCCTGTACTGGTGTTTACTTTGATGTCAACATAGCTGCTCCAGATTTCCTTTGATTTGTGTTTGCATGGTTTATCATTTCCATTATTTAACTTTAACTGATCTATGACATTGTATTTAACATGGGTATTTTGTACATAGTATATATAGTTCTATTTTGTCCCTTTTTGACACTCTTTTTCAATTCATTTGCTTTAACTATTTTAGGTTTTTTTGGTACTGGGGTTTGAATTCAGGACCTTGTTCCTGCAAGGCAGACACAGTGCCACAGAGCTAAATCCCCATCCTGCTTTAACTATTTACTGATACAGGTTTAGATTTTCCATTTTATTTTCCTTTTCCCTTTTGATTTTCATTCCTTTGTTTCCTCTTTCCTATTTTTAAAAAATTATGTCAAAAAAAATTGTGTCAATAATTTTTAGTATTAATTCATCTGTTTGGGGGCTGTTATCTTTTTGTATTGTGTTTTAGTGGTCAACTTACATATTACAATATACAGATCTAACTTTTCATAATCTACTGAGTTAATATTTTT